AGCTGTTAGAGGAGAGAGAGAACAGCTACATCAACTGTTAAACACTTTATGCTACTTTAAAGTTACATTACATCTATAATACGTAATAAGTAATATTCAGAAATATTAATCTAGAAAATGTGTTATATATAAAGATTATGTTAATTCATTTATAGCAGCTTCATTTAACAGAATGCTGTTTAAGGACTAAATACCCATTGTACAGAGCAATCTTTATCAAATTATTAATACATAATGCTGACAAGTGCAGCTATCTAGCTATACTAATGGCACATATCTTCAAAATGATTTAATATTTCTAGAAATTTGACTTGTTAATATTTATTGTGGGGTCCACTTATGCTTAACTTAACATAATGCTGTTATAGCCACAAATGTTAAGGAGAGCAGCTGTACCTGTTACTAACATACTGTTATGAGAGTCTATACAACTTTCTTCTTCTGCAGCTTCCATGTTTATTAGCTACACTTTATAAACTTGTTGGCTGCGCACAATATTGGCTTATGTAATTTATCAGGAATTTAAGTTTATAAATAAATAGCATTTTCTTCAAAGGAAATACTTTTAAGAGACTTTTCTTCACTTTATTCTTATATAAGGCTTTATAAGGTTTATTACAGGACTTTCTTTATCTAAAACTCGCGTAAGTCATCTTGCATTGTCTTTAGAGAAAATATAGTTCAATAACAATATATCGGATCATTCTGCTATAGTTGCTATGTTTATATATTTGTTCTCGAAATTCTAATTTTTCTAATTTCTATGTTTCTAAGCCAAACCCACTGAAATGTTGCAAACTTCTGCGCGCTATATTGTAAGCCCTACATAAATATAAATATAATATCTTTCTCATTCAAGTTTTACAACACTTTATTAGTCAATTACATCCACGATGCATTCTTTACATATTTGCGCACAAATGCAATGCATACATATAACTGTTTATTTGCCCAGATAACACAAACAGTATGCATACTACTCATACATATATATATATATATATATGTAACAGATATTTGCATAATTTGCCGCAAGAGTCAGAGATATGAAACGCGCATAATTGATGGCAAATAAAATTCGAGTCAATTTGCAACAATTTTGTGAATACAAATAACGCTAATGGCCAGATGATAGAAAAGATTGTCTAAAGATTTTACTGCGATTTTTGTTCTTGGTTTTCAGTTTTTACTTACTTATTGTTGTGGAGTGGAAAATATTAGTTAAATTCAAATGGAATAAGAAATTTACAAATTGCATTTTTGTGTGTGCGAAGGAGAAGTCATTGTTAAATAAAAGCAGAAATTGCGTCTAAAAAGCTTTTAACTTGCAAAAAAAAAAAAAAACAAGTAAAAGTATATATATATATATTTGAAAAATGATTTTGCATAGGAATTGTGTATGTGTTGTGTGTGAGTCTGTGTGTGTGTGAGTGTGTAACAATGAGCATGAAATGCTATTTATATTGTTCAATATTTAAGTCAAGAAATGAAAAAGGAACAACAAAAAATGTTGGGAAAAAGTGACGTGACGCATGACTTGGTGCAAAATTTTCTTGAGTGTGTTAAGGGCGTGAGTTTGAGCGTGTGTGTGTGTTTGTGTGTATATAGTATATATATATATACATATATTTACTGTTGTACATTACAATTTTAGGTTCCATGCTCGATTTGTGCGTCTTCGTTGATTTCATTGGTTGCGCCTGTCAAACTTAATTCACGTTTCTATTTTTTTTGTAAATTATTTTGTTATCGAATTCGATAACAATGCAGTTTCGATGACGCCTTTTGATATGCTGCCCATTCAAGTTGCTGTTACTTGGCTACGTTTTTTCCTCTCTTTTCTGATTGAATTTCATTTGAGCCGCAGTTGATTTTCAATACGAATTTAACGGCTGTTTTTTTGGCACTTCATTTCACAATTCAATTTTTTTGTTATTTATTTATTTTTGATTTTATTTGTTTGTTTGCTTGTTTGTTGTTGTTTTTCCCAGTTCAGACGAAACCGTTGAATTGATTTGATTTTCTGCTTCTCTTTATTTTCTGTGTGTTTTTTTTTGGTTGTAATTAAGTTACAAAAATGTTTGTTTTTGGTGTTTTTTCTTCTTTTTTATTTTAAGTTCAATTGAATTGATTTTGTTTTTGTTTTTGTTTTTTTTTTTTTTTTGATATTATGTACTAATAAAATGCATGTAAGTCAGTCCGTCGTTTCACAAATTGTTTGCCGTTGAGCTGTAACTGCAATATATATATAATATATATGATAAATATATATATTTTCATACATATATACCATATATACTGTATATATATAGATAACTGTTGGACAAACACTCAGAGCAAACCCCTCAGCAATTAGCAACAATTTAGCAACTTAATTGTTGCAGTTAGCCAAAGTTGCCACACACACACTAGCATTCTCTCACACACACATGGCCACACACACACACCCTCATACACAGTTTCCATTTGGAAATTGCATATTGCTCGCTTCCTGCCTAGCTGTTGGCGTCCTTTGGTCTTTGCTCTGTTGCAGCAGCATTTGCCACGCCTACCAAATTTCTCAAGCCATTAAGCACGCTTCACACACACACACATGCACATTCACACACATACATTCAAACGCACTGCACTTGATGCTCGGCCATTAATTTTTGTTTGTTTATTTGCTTTTGGGGCAACGTGATATTTTCGGCTTGAGTTTCCTTCGAATGCGTATTTATTATTTTGCTCCTCGTCCAAGGCGTTCACAGCGCTCGGCGCTCAGAGGAAAAGACAACTTGATCACAGCATGGAAAATGTTCAACTGACCGAAGCGCGAGCCTGCTGCCACGCTTAGCCAAACGCTGTGACAGCAGCAGAAGCAGAAGCAGCGAACAGCAGCAGCAGAAGCAGCAGAAGCAGCAGCAGAAGCAGCAGCAGAGGCCGCAACAGCAGCAGCAGCCGTGGCAGCAACCGCTGGCTTTATCAGTTCGTCGTGCTCGTGCGGAGGCGCCACCTCGTGTAAGCTCGTTTAGCTCGGGTTTCAGACTTTTTTTTTGGTTTTTCGCTCGCGTTTGGTAAACGCTTCGGCTTTTCACTCGTTCGCCTCGTTGTGGCAAGCAACATGTTGGACTCTGGCGCAGCATCCTTGGGTGTTGCCTCGACCAAGCCAACGTTAAACACTCAATGCGTAGCGTCACGTGTTGCACGCTTGGAGTGAAAAACTGTGCAGAGCTTTCACTCAATGCGCTGCCAGCTTGCATTTGTTTATACGCTCACTGCTAATGTGACTGGCCACGCCCTCCGCCTTGTACCCCCTTCCCCAATCCAGCACCACGCATAACGGAAATTATGCATATATGTGTATGTTGATGATACGTCGAGCTGCTTCGATATGGTTATTGGATACGGCTGAAAGAATCATTATTCAGAAAATTTATTTCTTTTTTTTTTCTACCTTTGCTGCCGTAAGTTTTTCATCAAGCATTTGGTTATCGAAGAGACACATTTATGTGTGTGTGTGTTGTGCCTGTGTGTATGTATGTGTGGGTCTCTGTGTTAGCTGTAACTTTTTGGATATAGCTGCTCTCAGGTGCATTCACACATGAGCGCCTGCCCTAGCTGCATAAGCTCGGAAATTAGAGTAATGCACACACACGCACACAACGGGCGGTAGGCGTGAGCGTGAGTGGGCGTGGCAGCCAGACTTGAGACTTGAGACATGGTAAATGCAATTATAAAGCGCTGGCAGGCAAAAGGAAAAATACTTTATACTTTTTTTTTGGTAATAGGCACTCTGCAATTTATTAAATGAAATAAGTCACGCAACTGCAACTTGTTTTTAGACATTTCCCTCTGCCACGCCACGCCTCACCCCACCACCCTCTCGCCCCGCTGAAACAGTTATAAAGTCTAGTTGGCAAAAGAATGAACCTACGGCATTGTAGAGAGTTTGACTATATTTATGTATTTGATGCTCATAATTTGTTCACTTTGTGCATTTTATTAATAAAGTTTGCCAGCTGGAAAAAGTCCGAGTTGCCTTGTCTGCCACACGAAGAACAAGATATAAATATACAGATATATTTATACATATATATATGTATATGTATGTATATATATATATATATGTGTGGGTGTATCTGTATAGTATATTAACTGTACATGTAGATGCTGCATATGCAGATTGGTCTTTAACTCAAAGTTTTTTGGTTACTTTTAAGCTGCGGTTCGAGCGCATATAAAAAACTTGTTCTTAACTTAAAAGTTTTTTATTTTCTTTCTCACGTTCTCCGCCTTTCTTCTCGCTTCCTCTCACTTCCACACTTTTGTAAACATTTCAAGTTAGGGGCATCTTTTAAATTGTTGCTTATTGAAACATTTTGCAGCATTGATTATTTTATGCCTGTTGCCACTCGAATTTTATATCAGTTTTCTTAACTTTCTGTTTAAAAAGTTTTCTCAACAGAATCTTGGCTAAAACGTGTAATACGAACTGCAATGTTAGTTAACATTCAGTTCAATTTCATGTATTATTACTGTATTATTTTACTGCTTATGTGTTTATGTAAACCAAAATTAATATCAGCTCAAGGGTAGGCTGAAAATCTGTGGTATACAAATGCTGTGAAAATATCATATAAATATTGTTCCATGTTATGAAATGGATATAAAGAGAAGAGCTTATCATCTCTATGTTACTGAATAACATTTTCAATAATATGTGGAAGCTCTCTAACAGAGTATAGTGTGTTAACTCTATTTTAAGCAGTCACGTAAAACTTAACATAACAAAGCAATGTTAAGACAAAATACAATGGTAACAGGTGTCATAGGTTCAATTTCTGATTTGTGGTGTCAACATATGTTAAAGAGCAGTACCCTAGATAACACATGTTAACTTTAACTCAGCTCTCTCAACAACCAGAGGTAACTTCTTAAATAGATTCAACTGAAAATCTTCAAGAACTTTTGTACATATGCAATGATTTTTATTTCAACTCTTGAGCGCTCAAGCAACTACAACTATTCGATCGGAAACTCATTTCAATAGCCCATTTAGATTAGTTCAACAACCAATTAACACTCAGTTCTGCCCTTGTCCACTGCCATTCGGACCCTTTTGCGGGGGTTGACCATGTTGTTGACCCTGTCCCTGCTGACCCTGTTGTCCGGCATTTCGCTGGAGAAAACCGGAGTTCATAATTTGACCCAAATGCTTTACCGGCATTTGCGGCATGGCAGCCTATAAAGCCGAAGCAAAACAAATTTTATAGTACACATAATTTCAATTACCTCCTTCTCGCCCGCGGCCCTCGACACCCGCCCACTCACCATTGCAACGGCCAACATCAGAAGGAAAACACCAATAAATGCGAACTGCTTCATTTTGCTTATGATTTGATTTTGTAACTGATTTTTCACCGCGTTTGCAATGCCTTTTTATACCAGTTCCCAAAAGGTGAATAATCGCCAGAGAACAATCAGCATGAGCACATTTTGTTCGCACTAATTGATTTGAAATATTATTTTAATTACCAAATAGCATGTCAGCTGCACAAAGTGAATAATCTGTGCCATGACAAAACCAATTAATTTGGTCGACAAATGTGAAAAAGCAATAATTATTTTAGAATGTAATATTTAATAATAATATCTTCAAAATCAAAATATGAAGAATAAATAAAACTACGAATAAATAATAAGTAATTATAGCTTTGGCAACAGTTATAGAGCAAGCTATAGAAAAGCAGAAAATTTATATATTTTATTCTCCAAGATAAATCATCGACATATAATTCATATAAATAATTGCCCTTTAATTCGCTTTGCTATTTGTAAAATTGTACTTTTAAGATGGATAGCATCAATGATGCAAGCGGAGAATAATTGACAACTTTACAATATATACATTTTTTTAATTATTTAAAGTTTTTGAAAACAAGAATTAATTTTTATAATTTTTTTTAATTTTGTTGAGAAAAAAAAACTTTGAAAAATGCAAAACTTGTTTTTTATTCTAGCAGTAAATAATTTTTTAGCATAATTTTTAGAGCGACAAGCTCATAAATTTGTGCTAACAACCCATAAGGGAAGTAAAAACAAGTCAGACACACACTTTTACACACACACACTCACGCACACGCTCGCAAAATACGCAATTTATGAGTCATAAATTGTGGAAATACAAATATTAGTTCTAAAATTGTGCTGCAACTCTACAAATATATATATATATATATATATATATACGATATATATCTTAAAGGCGCGCTCTGGCATTTACGGTCCACTTGCAGCGAACGGTGGCGGTTGCCTTTGCTGCCACCTGACATTTGCCACAAATGTCACCTGCGGCTGTTTCGTGGCAATTTCGCTTAGGCGCCACTGTGCCACAAAATGCCTTCAATTTGAGATTAAATTTTCCTTTTATTATTTTTTTTTTTGCAGCCAGCGATTTTGCGACAAAACAAACAATTTTCTAGTTTGCGATTGGCAACAAAAGGTTACGCGACAGCGACATATGCCACGCCCACAAGGACCACAACTAGGCGCACACGTACACACGCACACTGAGACAGGCACCCTTGCCAATCAATGTGTTTCTTTATATTCACATGCAAACATCTGCGTGTGTGTGGGTGTGTGTGTGTTGGGCTTTTTCTTTTAAGGTAATAAATTTTCCTTTTTCGCTCGGAAATATGAATATTGAATATATGCCTAGAGTCGACCGTTCGCATAATAAACCGCAGGGCGATGCCAGCCAATGAAATGGTAACAACGGGGCGACTCTGAAAGCCGCTGAGCGTAAAACTACTAAAAAACAACTACCTCATTTTAAATTCCTAGGTGAAAGCAAGGAGCACGTGTCAGCTGCACTGCGCGAAACTAGTAATTCAGTTGTTCAAATTATTTGATATGTAAGAAGAGCATTGAACAATAGAGTTAATGGTAGGGAAATACAAAATTTTAAAATATATAAAATATATTCAAAAATAAAATATTTTCTATTTCTAAACAACATCCAAAAATGAAGCTTAACATTAATTTTCTTTTGCTTTATACTTTAAGTAAAATCAACATCGATTTTTCAAAGATTTTGTTTTTCATAAATTTTAAAACAAAAAAAATTATAAATTAGCTAAAAAATTCTGAAATTATTTTTAAATATTAAAATTTAAGCATTTTTTAAATAATAAAAATACTACAAATTAAAATGAGGCAATTTTATAATCACAAATTGTTAAATTTATATTATTATTATTATTTATAATATTCTTTATTATAATAATTATTTTTACTATTTTTATATTTTATTTTATATTATTAATATTTTTATTTTTGGTAAATATTTTATTATTAATATATTTTAATTAATATTTTTTACTATCTTTTCATTATATATATATTTATATTTATGTATATGTTTTAATTTAATCTTGTCACAAATTTTTACTCAAATAAATCCTCAAGTACAATTCCAAATATTCTAATAAATTTTTTTGTTTGTTTTTAAGACTTTACACTCAACCCAAATTCGAATTATTTATTAATTTAATCTGCGTACTACAAAAAACAAAATCAAAACAATGTAAGCCAGCTTAACTCTAGAGTTGCCTCATTACAAAAATATTAATTAGACCAAAAAGAAAATGAGCTTAAAATTTGCCAGCTTTCGCTCAGTGCATTTGTGTGTGAATAGTAGTTGTCTGGCCTGCAGCCCTCATGTAGGGCCACTGTACATACTGAATGAGATGAGACGAGAGTCTGAGTCTGAGCTGAGTTCAGATGCTAGATGAGAGGCACTAATGAAGTTTCGGTCGGTTTGTCCTTTTAAGGACTCGGCTTGCCTCATTGTTTGACTTTGCCAGCAATAGCTGCCGCGCCACACCCCCGTCCTACCAGATGCCTTTACCTCTACCTACAAGTCAAAGCGCTCATAATGTTTGCACAGTCAACGAGCACTGTGTGTGTGCGGGCCTGGCATTTGCCTGCTCTGCTGGCACTCTATTTATTTATGTTTATAATAGGATTTTTATCAAAACTTTTCTGCTTCTTTCTTTTTCGTTTTTCGCTTTCCATTTTTGTTTTTTTTTTTTTGGTCGATTCCATTTTGGTAATGAGCATTTAAAAAAGACAACAGCTACTAGCAACAGCTGACCCGCAGCTGGTCGGGCGTTTGTCTTTTGACACGCCCCAATGTTCCTCTGCCCCCTCCCACACACACACACACATAGAGAGAGAGAGCAAGCGAATGCCCGCAGAAACATGCAGCCAGTCCAACTTTTTTTGTTGTGTCCATTCACACCAAAGCTCAAACTTTTTATGTTTTACACTCATTTTACCACACTTAATATAATGCCTGAACTCTGGCCACGCTATCGAAAAACCAGGCAACTAAATAATTACCAAATATTTGTGCAAGTTTATTATACTCGCTCACAATCTGCACAAACGGAGTATTTTGGTTTTATTGAGTTAATTCTATTTACTGTTCAAAGTACATTCGTCTCTGTCTGAATGAAAATCAAGCTTAAAATATATATTTATTTTTTATATATATCTTGTTAACTTGTCTTGTTTTTAATATATTTTTTTGATTTATTACTTCTTTTATATAACTCATATCGTCTCTTAAATACTTCAGCAGTTTAACTTGTACCTGCTGTGCTTTCGCCTATCTATCTGAAAAGCAAGCTACAAACTGGAAATTTCATATCCTCTCGTCTTATATGGTTTATGCACACGCCTACAGGAGGTGTGGCAAAATATCAAATACTACAGCACAAACCCTCTTTAGCAGCTAAGGAATTTTTAAATAATATATTGATTCCATTTTTAAATGGAAATTTGTCAATCAAAAAGAAATTAAATTTTGTATAAATTCAGCTGAGTTTGAACCCTAAACGAGCATTAAGCATTCGAATTAACCAGGTATTTTGGTTTTGTTTTGTTTTTAAAGCGCATTCATCTCATTATGGTTTGACAGCCTGTCGAGCCCGCCTCTGGGTCTGGCTAAACTCTCATTAGCCGCGGCCGTCCATTTCGACTGTCTGCACTGATTATACACATTTAAGTGCACTGAGAAACATTTGGCACTAAACTCACTGCTTAAATATGCCTAATTTGATTTGGCATTTCATGGTTTTCCGGACTCTTTACGTACAGGCACTTTGCCAAAAAAGCAGCCTCAATTAAAACTCAGCCGCAAAGGCAACCCAAACCAATTGCAGAGCATTCAAACGCTATGAGCTCGAAAGTCAAGAACCTCAAGGACCAAACAGCTACGAAGAGTACATATATATATAGATATAAAGAAAGTGGAAGCAGCACGCAAGCCACAAAATGGGATGAACTTAAAGCAATGTGTATCAAAAGGCAGTAAAACACTTTAAAAAGAAACTAGTTTCAATAATGAACGAACTGTGAAGCGAAATTTAATTAAAGCTTTGGTTAAAGATAAACAGAATTATGTGAAACTAAACATTTCAAATACAAACTTTGTTTTGGCTTAAATCAAATTTATGAAAATTGCATAGAAAGGCGATATTTAAAGAGAGTGGCGAGAAAGTGAAAGTGAGAGTGGGAAAGCAGGATATCTAAAGAGTTCAACTTATTAACTATGAACCGAAGCTTAACAAATGTTAGGCTTAAAATAAATCTTAATTTTATGAACCTCAAGCTGTTTATATAAGATTTTAGTTAGCCTTATAAAGGTCATAAGACTAATTGAGAAGTTGGAAATAGGAAACTGAGCACTCAGGAGAGACTAATTAAGAGTGCTAATCAAGCTGCGCTAAGAAATAGATATCTGCTCTGACAGATATTATAAATGGAGCTCGTGCAACCCGCATCGGCAAAAGCCATTTTGAGTGAATTAATGTTTGTCTCATTATAAAATGTAAATAACTAAAATGACAGCTAGAAACAATCAAAAAAAGGGGTGTGGCTGCGCCAATACAGGTCCATAGCAACAGAATCCAGCCTAAATGACGAGTTTTAATGACGTATCTAAACCAAAACATAGAAACACACAGAGAGAGGAGTTTGTTCGACTGGCAAATAATGACAAGTTTTCAAAGCCTCATTAATCATGAAAAGTTCATAAGGACTTAATCCATGTCAGAGCCAAAAACAGAACTAAGTAATCCCAACAGCTGGGTAGCAGACACACACACACACACACGCGCGCGCACACCAGCAGAGAGTTGAGCTGTCGATATTTGTTTTTCGCTTGGCTTTGGCAACAAATTAAGAGAAAAACTGACGAAAAGCTGCGTCTCGCTTGGCCAACAGGATATAAACTTGCAAAAATTATATTCAACTTGACTATTTTATTTACTTCTATACACATATATATATATATATATATATATATATTTATATATATATTATTTGTCTTCA